AACTTTTGTGTTCAATTTAACCGACCTTGTAGGTCTCACCGTTTCCGAGATAGCAGCGGGATCAGCTAAATAAAGGCTTGTATATAATATTTGAACTTGTTTGATGTTGTTACTACTCAATAGTATTGTAATGAATCTGAAGCCGGCCCTGACCGGTGTCCCAGTCAGCCAACGCATGACGCATACCGCGAAAACTCCGGATGGGTCCCGAAATCCGCAGAGGGATCCGGAACGTTCGTTGACGATATAAAAACGTCGCTATTCGTCCCGAAGAGTAATCTGTACCAAGAAAGCGAATCGAGCGGTTAACAAACGGTGAAGATAAATTAAGCGTTAGTTACTGAGTGGTGTAAATAAATTAGTTGTGATAGTGAAGTATTGTTAAAATAAATTTGTTTAAGACAGTCAATTCTTTAATTCGTTACAGTATTATCCAAAATTGAAAATTATATTTCTTGTGGTTAATAAAAAAGATTTCACACACAATCTGTTGCGTATTTCCAGCGAGGTCTTTTTATTGAAGCTACGTTTATTTAAAGTTACTTCTTCTCGTTGAGGAGGTATCTGCTAGATGGGAATCCTAATGGTAAAAGGCGGTGGTATTTTCAACTTACTCCTCTTATATTCTGAAAAAAAAGTCAAATTTTGTAAGAAAACACTAACAATATAGATGACATGAATATTTGATCAATTTGCTACATTCCATGTACCTTAACCAACTTGGTTGTAACTTTTCACATATAGATGATTTACTGTCAAAAAGTTTCATCACAGGAACTACAAAATTTGCCAAATACTTGAATGTATCAAATGTCAATTAACCATAAAACAGCAAAAAAAGTCCTTGGAGAAGTAATTGTTTCAGACAGAGCACATATTGTTTTTTTTTAATTCAAAGAATCATGTTACTACAAAGTGTTCATAAAAATTAATCGAACTACCTTTGTCAAGTAGTTGATACGGGTGCCTTAGTAATAAACATACATTAATGCGTTATCAATTTGAAAATCCACTGAATGTTGCAATACAAACAAGTACTATCAAGTACTACCAGTATACAAGCCCAATCACTATTTGGTACATTAGGAACCTGCTTGTAAAATAATACAAAATAGAATGGAAGACAAATTATAAAAACATTTTTAAAATAATTTGTCAACTCTCAGTTAGGCTAGCTGATTTGATTTTTTGATACAATGAAAAATAAAATAATAATGTGTTATACAGGGTCCTGCAACAGTGGCGCGGTGTTCCATATCTCTATTTAGGAAACAGATAGATAGATAGATAGATAGATAATATTACCTTATTGCTCGAGCTCGACAGAATAAAAATATTGGCGGTCACACAGGGTGTTTAATTTTTTCTGGACGGATCCCATCTGTGTTTTTTTAAAAGGCAACCTATATTTTTTATCGCTTTTTCGGTTTCTACATAGAAAGTAAAAGACACTTTATGTATATCTTCAATTCGAAAATATTGACGGTTTTTGACATATCTAGCATGACAGTTTTTTTTTCCAAAATTTGTCACTCAGAATATTTGAAATTATAAAGTTGTGCCAAGTCCAATTGAATTTTTTTTTGGTCAAATATTCTACATTGGTAACTCTCTAAAACGATATATCTGAAATCGACCTGTGATATACAGGGTATGAAAAACCGTTTGCCACATATCGTAAATAAACATTTGCAGAATCTTTCTTATTTTAAACATAAAACCCTGTATATTATTGATCCATAAGGAGCGCCAACGAAACCTCTACAAATTTCATTAAGTATCTATTCCCTATGGCTAGGTTCAATAGTTTTTCTTAAAAATGGTCGTTCTTCCTATTTCTACGCCATAAACTCGATGAAAGATTTTTTTCAAAGCGAAATTCGTTTGACGACTGATAAGAATATATAAAAGATATCTTGTTTCAATTTTGTACATTATAGCGTGTCCTATAGTTTTTATTAATTTTTTTTTTTTTAAATGAAAACTCTCTATTTTATCACCATAATATCAATGATTATTTTACTGTGAAATCCATTTGTGACGGCTGTAATTTATTCATTTGATGCATAGTTTTTGTCCAACCCTTGCCTTGAAATATCGCCTCACGCCAAATTACCTGTTATTAGATAAACAAGTTGTAAATTACACCACAAAATGTACGTTCTTGAATAATTACAATAATTTCAATAATCTCGAAATTTGTGCCATATTTTTTCGGTCTAAAACAACCTTCAGCGAATAAAATATTTATTGGAAATCAAGTAGTCTGGCAAAAGACAGATCAAAATATTTGCCTGCAAATGAATATGGAAATCTTTAGTGAATCGTGAAGTTGAACTTTCGATATAATTTCATCAGAATATTGTTATGAAGAAGTGATTTGATTGATATGATTTTCATATTAGGTGAATCACACAGGAATTGTTTATTGACAAGTGGAATTTATTCTCTACGATATCCAGATAGAAGGCATCCAGATGAAAGATCTTTCCGAAAGGTCTTGGGACGATTCGTTGAAACTGGATCTATTAATTATTCCAAACATGAGCGCATCAAGCCAGCTACTAATGAAGATAATGAATAATTTGCAAGTTCTTTTTGTTGTTGAAGAAGATCCTAGTAGGAGTCAACGACAAATTGGTGAAGAACTATTGTATGCCGATTTTGAGAAAAGAGTGAGATTTCACAATTGGGCCATGGGAAACATTCGTCCAAACGAATATTTTTTCAATGACATTTTATGGTCAGATAGATCGATATTCCATAAAAATGGATTTGTGAATCGACATAATTAATTCGACAGAAAATCCCTACTTATTGAGACAGGTGGACTATCAAAATAGGTGGTCGACACATGTCTGGGAGGCATCATTGGAGGGACATATAAATGGAACAATGTATCTAAATTTCTTACGAAACGATTTACCAGGTTTGTTAGAAGATGTTCCTTTTGACCTCCGCAATAGAATGTGGTAACAACATGATGGTGCACCTGCTCACTATTCGGCAGAAGTGAGATCATCTAAACGAAGTATTTCCCAATAAATGGATAGGTCGGAATGAGGCTGTACGGTGGCCCGCTAGATCACCAGATTTAATAAAACTGGATTTTTTCTTATGGGGATACATAAAAAATATGGTTTACGTCCAGCCATAAACTTTTTCCGAAAATATGCGACTCAGAATAACGAGTGATTTTAGCAGCATTACACCAGCTGTCTTGCGCAGGATAGAACAGTCTTCCAAACATAGACTTCAGCTCTGCATTCAAGAAAATGGAAAACATGTTGAACATATTTTATAAAAGTTTCATTATCAACCTTCATTGAACTTTCCCTTTTGTAGTTTTGTAGTTTGCCAGTTGACAAATTTAAATATCTAGAATTAAAGCTCTGAGTTTATGAATATACACCATAACATGAAAAAAAAATAGTAATATTCATAATGTTTTTTCATTTAATCTTGTTTGCTTTGATACTGCACGATTTATGGGTAAAATTCTGCATCCAATGAAAAACATAATTTTCTATTTAGAAAAATGTGATAGGTACATACATTTATTTCGTAAAAAAATATTTGTTTGGATAAGCTATAATCTACAAAATTGAAACAAGATACCTATTGTATATTCTTATCAGTCGTCAAATGGCTTTCGCTTCGAAAAACGTCTTTCATCGAGTTTATGGCGTAGAAATAGGAAGAATGACAATTTTTCGGAAAAATTATTATTTAAGAAAAACTATTGAACTAGCCATAGGATCAGCCTGTATATCATGTAGAGAAGCTGGAAACGGTCTAAAATAAGTTTGAACTCGGAAATTATTAATTTGAGCATTTTCATTTATTCTTGTTCAATTTCCAAGTAGGAATGTTATTGAAAATGTATTATCGAAACTGTACAGGGCTCTGCACTGAGAGAGCAGAATTCAGAACAACTCATTAATGAAATTATATGATGCAATAATTCTGACGGGAACATGGCTTTTGAATAACATAAACGATGCGAAACTTTTCGATAATAACTACAACATATTTAGTGAAGACAGAAAATTACAATCCAGTAATATAACCAGAGGTAAAGGAGCTCTGATTGCAGTAAAAAACTTTATGAAAGCTCCCTCATTACAACACAAACTGGCTTAGGAACTATCTTTGTAAAAGTGAATGTATAAGGAAATAAAATATTTACCAACTCAACATATATCTCTACGAGTAGCAAATCACAATTGTATAAAGAAATTGTATAAACGTGCGTTAATTTGGTAAATGATCAAAACACATATGTAGTTTTTATAGGTGATCATGGATATACCAGATAAATGGTACAGCTTTTCAATTTCATCACTCACCATCTTCAGTCACATAATAATACACTAAATGTAAATAATAAAAGGCTGGATCTATTTGGATAAAAGTGCGGTGAAGCTATACGAGGGATTTTCATCTTTAGTAGGAAAAGATAACTATTATCATCTCCTCTTGATCTCCAACTCGAATTGAAGAAAAACATAACATTTGAAAGGGTAATAGTTGCGAATTACACCACAAAATGGACGTTCTTGAATAGTTACAATAATTTCAAAAATCTCGGAATTTGTGCCATATTCTTTCGGTCTAAAACAACCTTTCAGCGAATGAAATATTTATTGGAAATCAAGTAGTCTGGCAAATGACAGAACAAAATATTTGGCTGCAAATGAATATTGAAATTTTTAGTCAATCGTGAAGTTGAACTGTCGGTATAATTTCATCAGAATGTTGTTATCAAAAAGTGATTTGATTGATATGATTTTCATATTAGGTGAATCAGACAGGAATTGTTTATTGGCAAGTAGAATTTATTCTCAACGGTATCCAGAGCAACGGTATCTAGAGCATGAATCAATCTTCACAGATTGATTCATGCTCTAGATTTATTAATTTATATCGCACAAGTTTAGGCTTTCGAGAGTTGTAGTTCGTATGGGGGCGACAACAGAAAAAGAGATTTTAAACAGATATTGAGCTAACAAGCAAATAATTATATTGGATAACGTTATATAATCTGAATATTTATTTGTAAAAAACGCAAAATGCAAATCTTTGAAGTCTTGAAGTATTACGTTGAGGATGTTTCAGCACCTGTATCACATAAGCATGAATTCACATAAGGCATACCTTAACTCCTTCAAGATCGATTTCTTTGATTTGTTCTTTTTCTGAATCATCTCGAAATGTGTTTTTTTGGATGTCTTGTACGTCAGTAAAATTTTCTTGGGCCTAAAAAGTTATAGGTTACATTCCACTAGATAATATACTGTTTTCTCCTATACCTTTGCATGTACAGTTCCCATTGTATGTACACAAAGACAAATAATGCAGTTTTAACAAGAAATTTAGGTTAACACATATCTGAATTGGATTGAACAGGTATGAGTATAAAATTATTAAATGAATCTTCTCACAAAATATGACTGAAACAGATTTCAACAATTTATAAATTTATCTGACACTGACAGGGTTTTGACATAGACGGCTATTTTCATGGACCTTTCTATAACAATGGGGATATCAATCATCCGACTTCACGTGACCTTGAAATGAAAGAAAATTTTTTGATTCTCGCATCCTTGTTATCAGGTGAACCAATATAAATATTTAGAGAAAAAGGTGACAAGTACAAAAAGAAATTAGTAACTTTTCAGAAATAATAACACTGATGATCTTCAAACAAGACTCAACCTCTGACGGAAGCACCAAAGTCTTTCGAAGGTTCGAAATAGATGAACACTTCAAGCTAGCAGATCACTATTCGTGTCACAAAGTGTCTAACGATGTATTGAATTTATTGGAGCCTCTGTAGATACCCTACATGTTGTTTTATGAGAGAAAGAACATTGGGAGATCAAGATCTTCAGAGGATGTGGTGCTGCAGGTTTTTCCGGGTTTTCCTGCAGCTGAAAAAGCGATTGCGCCACTGGAATCAATGAAGTCGCCCCGGAGCGAGAATTAATTTTTGTTGTTGCTGTTAGATGTTGTTAGTGAGTGGGAAAGAGACGGGTGCCACGTAATCATCGAAACGTATACTGTACGTAGTATAGAGTTCACGGGACGTAATCGATGCATAGAAGGATAGAATGAGTATCGGAAAGAAAACAACGCGGTTGAATTATAAAAATAGTGGTATTATAATAATAATAATGAATGAAAAATCGAATTAAAGAATAAACATGGCGGCGAGGTATTGAGTGCAACGTTAAAGAGAAAAACATGACTGACAACGTTGAAGAAAAAAAAACTTGACCGCTATCGAGGTATACAGGGTGTGTGTAGCGTTTGAGAAAAAAACATGACTGTTAACGTAAAAGACAAAAACGTGGCTGACAACGTGAAAGAAAAAACATGGCTGCCATCGAGGTATACAGGGTGTAGCGTTTGAGAAAAAACATGGCAGTTAAACGGGGCTCTATCGTTATAACGTGTTGAACTCATTAATTTCCATTGCATCCATGATCGAAAATATTGGGCTTCACACATATTGCCATGAATTTGACGTCCTTTGGTACGTTTTCATACAAAATGTTATTGATTATTGCAGTTAAAAGTACAAAATTAATTTTCAGCATTGGCGGCGGAATAATCTACAGTGCAAGGATGAATTCTTCGCAGCGGATATCTCGTTTGAGACACTTTTCGGTTGAGAACTGTCTCGAATATCTAAATTATTTAACCGATTCAAAACAATCTTTTCTACGAAAAATTGAATGTCTTTCTTTAATTCTTGAACACGTTTACAAAACTCTTCAACTTTATGTCTGTATTCTTCAAATATCATTTTATCACTGATTATTTCAACTTTTTAACGACATTAACATTCTTTCAAGAAAAATATAATATCACCCACCTCCCAAATGCCACGTGTTTTCTTCGCCCCCCCCTCCCCTATTTGCCACCTAACATTTGACAAATGACGTGTATTCAAGAACGAAAACACCTATGTAAAACAACGTATTTTGAAATGTCATTGCTGATGAATACTCTGCTTCCTCCCATTGCCTTATTTTCGAGCGTTAACTCCACAACACTTCTGAATATGAAAACATTTCCCATTGGGATGGCACGTTGAAACGCTACACTCTCGTTAAACTGCCATGTTTTTTTCTTTTACGTTAGCAGCTATTTTTTTCTCGAACGCTACACACACCCTGTATACCTCGATAGCAGCCGTGTTTTTTTCTTTAACATTGGCAGCCATGTTTTTTCTTTAACGCTGCATCCAATGCTATGCTTTTTCTTTAATTAGATTTTTCAGACATCATTATTATTCCATTATTTTTATAATTCAACCGCGTTGTTATATTTCAACTGAATCGCTTCGATACTCATTCTATCCTTATATGCATCGATTACGTCCAGTGAACTATACTACGTATAGACTTCTTGATGGTGGGCCTCCCGGCACACAAGGAACCTGTACTCCAAATGGATGGACTTCAGGTGAGGTATTCCTCGATTGATGCATTTTTTGTGGAACATGTTCGATCTACCCCTGAGAAAAAAAACGGAAAAAAAGTTGAACAGCCAAAGAAAATTAAAGTATTTGTATATATTGTTTTTTTTGCGTCGAAATATACATTGAAAAAGATGATAATCAGATTGAAAATTGGATTCGATACGACGTTTGTCAACTCTGGTGTCACGGAGAATGTTCTGCTTTTGATGGCACTAAAGAGTATATTTGTGATAACTTTCAATTTTAATTTTATAAATATTTAAGTTCAAGTTATGTTTATTAAATGTATTACTCACGTTTTCAGATATTAAAATGTGTGTATTCATTTTGCCCGAGGAATCCGGGAAAAGTGAATAATTTCCTTCTTCATAAAATTTTATTTGCAGGTAATTGTTTAATTATAAAGGGTGACTGATGATGGTTATTGTAAATAAATGAAGACTGATTTGTGCTAGTTATTTTGTTTTTGTCTCCTATACCTTTTCTGCTAAAGCCTTAGATATCTTAAGGTATCCACTTTGCCCGACCTTCCCCTAACGATATGAAGCTGAAATTGACGAAAATATTCTTATTGATCATCATTTAAATTTCGTGTAGTAGTTTTTCATTCTAGTTTGAAGGGCTTGTCTCAGGGCTTTATTATATTTTGGCTTTTTGGACTGTTTTGAGTGGTTTATATATGTTATGTGGTTCACACTGAATTTATATTTTTGAAAAGCAATAAACTTTATTGAATACAATTGTTTACAATAAAGACATTTAAAAGTGATTCAAGATTTCGACGAACTTGGATAGTCGCGAAGTTGTTCAAGAATGCGGCGTCCTCTTGTTCTCCCATATTTATTTATAGGATCAGGAACTGCTGATGTAGATATGCGTTTCTTCGAATGTTCTAGAAAAACCTTGGAAATGTGCTGAATATGCTGAGTCATTTCCTGGGTAACTGCGTAGTGGCTGATGTAATGTTTGTTTATTATGGTGCAATCCTTAGACAAAGGGTGCATTGACTTTTCTAATATAACAACTTCCCACTTGAAAAGAAAGTTGATGCGGTGCTGCAACTTTCAGTCAAGCAAATGTTTTATTTGAGCTTAATTCAATTTCTTCCACAATTGGTTCCTCTAGGTGGATACTGGGTCTTCTTTCTGGAGCTGGGAGTAATCTTCGTAATGAGGCGAAAGTTCTTCTGGGTCAGGTAGAAGAATCATTCTCGATCTGAAACAAAACTTGGTTTCAGTCTATCGAAATTGACTTTTGTTGTTTGGTTAGTTTTAGGGTTTCTCAGTAATGCTGAGTTTTTGAAAACTTCTATTACTTCAAAAGGTCCATTGAATTTATTTTCTAACTTATTTTTGATTTGGGACTCTTTTATGTATACTTTATCACCTATATTATAAGTTTTTGATTCATGGTGTAAGTTACTATCAAATCTTATTTTAGCTTTTTCTTTCTTTCTTTCAGTATTTGTGCGTGCTACTTTGTAATAATATTCCATACGATTATTAAGATCTCTGACATACTTCGTCATAAGGTCTTTTTGATTATATAAGGTTTCTGGGGGTCTACCGGATGTGTGTCCAAATATTAATTCATAAGGACTAAATCCGTGGGTTTTGTTTAAACTGTTGTTAAAACATATATAACATCATAGGGTATAATAGAAAATGGGTGGTCTTTGGGGTTTTCTGCTAGATTTACTCTTATCATTTCCATTAGGGTGGCATGGAATCTTTCAAGTGAACCATTTGATTGTGGATGGTCAACACTGGGAAACGTTAGTTTAATATTATAGAGTAAACATATGTCTTTTAATAGATAATTGTTGAATTCTTTTCCTGAATCGGCATGGATTCTTAATGGTATTCCATAATGTTGGAAATATAGTAATAATGTGTTTACAACTGATTTCGCTGTTTTATCAGATATAGGGTATGCTTGAGTGAATTTTGTAAGTTCATCTCGAATTGTAAGAAGATAATTCTTCGTTGGAATTTCTGAAATGTCTATATTGATTCTTTCAAAACTTGTTTTGGGGGTTTCCGTGATTACTAACGGATTTTCTAAGTTTTTCCTGCAGATTTTCGTTTTTTGACATACCTCACAGGCTTTAATAAAATTTTCAACATCTTTTGTTATACCATTCCAGTTGTATTTTTGCTTTATCCTTCATAAGGTTTCATTTATTCCACGGGGTAAATTATTTTTACCGTTATGAAACTGATCTAGTATAATTGGAATCTGATCTTTGTCAGGGGTCGTTACAATGTTTTGACATATTTGGAATTTTATGTCATCTTTGTCGGCTAAAATATAGGATCACATTTCTTGTATTGGGAATCCTACATTTGTTTCGAGTTGGTATACTCTGTTTGGTACGAATAAATTTTGATCTTTGTATAGGGAGCTAAACAAGTATTCTATTGTTCCGTCATGGTCAAAAGGTAATGGGATCAAATAATATTTTCGATATTTCACCGTTTTACTAGACACAACATTGATCTTGTTATAGAAGAAATCGGGATATTCTTCAAAAATGTCTTCGAGTATTTTGTCATGGATTTCTGTAAGTTTGTTTCTTTGCAGAAAACAATTATGTCTTTATGTTTTTTGTCTAAGAATTGGTCATTAGTGAAAATAAATTTGGAATAATCAATTAGTGATTTTGATTAGTAAAGTTTTGTGAAGTTTTTCAATTCTTCAAAAATTGTTTTCTGACCTATTTCAGTTTCAGTATCTGAAATTTCTTCGTTTTCATTTTGATTTTCATTTTCGATTGCTTCATTTTCAATTGCGAAAACTTTTGAATGAAATTTTGCGCATTCTTTGAAATAATTTATTTTAATTCTAGACAAGGCGTCAGCGTTTTTGTGTATTTTTCCGGGTCTATAAATTACATTGAATTGATTTGAATTGAGGAGTGATTAATTTTTGGGAAAGAAAGTTTTTGGCTTTTTACTACTCCATCTTGATACAAAAAACAAGGATGAGAGAATCTTCCAAGGAAAGGAAGAAAGTAATCAATTTTTAAATAAGTAACTCTATACATGGATGTGTAGATCATGCAAAGAAGTAAATTTCAGACACAAACTGAAAGAAAGTCCTTCTGAAACAGCTCCTTTCATATAAACATTGAATTACACGAAAGAAAAAATTCTTTCGAAACGAATACTTCTATATGAACACTGAATTATACAGAAGATATTTTTCTCTACTCAGTTTGTATTTCAAACATTCGTTGTGGAATAAAAATCAGATATCATTCACATGAGTTCTACTTTAAATGAATGGTAATAAATTGCACTTCACCTTCACTGGTATACACCGATGTTTCGCCT